TCATTAAAATACCTAAGTCGAAACTTTTCTTTTTATCCCTAAAAGAAGCCCGCTAGAGGATTGCTTTGCTTTCTAACATCTCTTTCTGTTATCAAAATGCTCTTTAGCACTAGGCGTCTAGTAAGCGATAGCTATCGCTTACCTAGACAAAGGCCGAAGCACCACAGACACACTTCAAGCACAAACTCGTATTTGTAAATAAATCTAGTTAGAACGGCCTCGGCCAAAGTCTTACATAGCCTCGAGCTCACTAGACTCTAATGGAACAATAATAAGCTAGGGGACTAGACCGTGCTAACGTATGCATGGTAAAGCTTGGATAGCGCGGCCGATATCATGAATCCCTGGTATCAGAATACGTCGTGCAGCCCGTTTTACCGGCTCAATCAGGCGTGTACGCTGGGCAATTACGTCAGCTATGCGATTCCCGTTGGGGGGCCTGCCGACGTCGTGGCCGCTATCAACTTCACAAAGACCCACAATGTGCGGCTGGTGATTAAAAATACTGGCCACGATTATCTCGGCAGGTCGACTGGAACAGGCGGTCTGTCGCTGTGGACCCACAGGCTCAAATCAAAGGAGGTGCTCAACTACACCAGCAGTGCGTATACTGGCCCTGCTATCAAGGTCGGGGCGGGCGTGACCGGTGGAGAAGCCCTGCTTTATGCATCTAAATATGGGTACCGCCTAGTATCCGGTGATTGCCCGACGGTGGGTTACGCAGGGGGATACTCATCCGGGGGCGGGCATAGTCTGCTGAACAGTGTCCATGGCCTTGCCGCTGACAACGTCTTGGAGTGGGAAGTCGTGACTGCAGACGGGCGACATCTAATTGCAAGTGCCACTGAGAACACAGACCTCTATTGGGCGCTTTCCGGTGGTGGAGGAGGCAATCTTGCCGTTGTTCTGAGCATGACGGCAAAAGTTCATGTGGACAGCCTTATTGGCGCCGCAACACTAAGCTTTAATGCCACGGCCAGCCGCAGCGACGCCTCTTACGTCTCCGCTATAAACGCTTGGTGGGGATTTCTCCCTAGCCTCGTTGACGCGGGCGCCTCTCCCTCCTTCAACCTCCTAGCTGGCAAATTCCTGGTCTACAACACCACGGCGCCGGGTAGATCCGCCACGCAAATGGCCGAGCTGTATGCGCCGTATCTAGCCAAGCTCGACGCACTGCGGATCCCCTATGAATTCGCCACGTATGCGGCGCCATCGTACGTCCAACACTACAATGCCACCGATGGGCCTCTTCCCTACGGCCCATACGAGGCGTCACAGCTCTTCAACAGCCGGCTGATCCCTCGCACCCTGGCCCGCAGCCCCGGAAACCTCACTTCGGCACTGCTGTCGACCGTGGCATTTGACCCTGCAGCCAACTGGCAGATTGGCTGTCTAGGCATCAACGTCAACGCCACGCACATTGCCCACCCGGATAATGCCGTGGTGCCCTACTGGCGCGACGCAATGGCCATTTGCCTCGAGTTCTCCATCTACAACTGGACCATCCCTGAAGCCACCATGGTGGCCCGCCGCCAGGACCTTGCCGCCATCATCCACCCGGCAATCGAGGCGGCGACCCTGGGCTCGGGTGCCTATCTCAACGAAGCCGACCCGCTCGTCTATCCCCCCGGGGATGCGGAGAAGTGGCAATCAGCCTTTTTCGGAACGCACTATCAGCAGTTGAGAGCGCTGAAGCGGAAATGGGATCCCCAGCGCGTATTCTATGCGTATGCTACGCCGGGGGCCGAGGATTGGCGCGAGGATTCAGACGGCCGGCTGTGTCGAGCGTGGTGAGGCGGTGTGGGGTCACGAGAGAGAGAGAGAGAGGGAGAAAGAGAGAGAAAAGGGGGGGGAATAGGGTAGCAGGAGACAAGAGAAGCTCGACAGTAACAGGCTTTTGTGTGTATGCGCGTGTATGCGTGTATGCGTGTGTGTGTGTGTATGCCTTATTTCTCGCAAAAGGCAAGACTGGATAGACAGTAGAAAGTAGAAAATGAACAATAAGCCTCCCTCTCCCCTTCACAAGCTGTAGAGTAACCATCAAGAACATAACCTCTGCAACCTACAAATGCTATTCCTCGACAGCTGTACCGACTGCACATAACTCGACACGCCACTCCCATCAAGCCCAAGCACCTCGCCCTTTGCACTCAGCAGCGTCGCAATCCAGTAACTCGGCAGCAATCCGCGCGGGGCCCCCAAGCCCAGCTGCGACGACGACGACGACACGCACAGCTCCGCCGGCAGTCCCAGCAGGCGCTCCATAGTGGCAAAGTGGTGCGAGACAGCCAGGATCAAGATCTTGATTTGCAGACACACGTCGTGGACAGGGAGGCCCGCGAGCTTGAGTTCAGGGAGAATCTGGAGGCCCTGGCACGGCGAGGATAGACTGCGTGGATCCAGGTGCGAGGCCAGGGTGCAGAGGAAGGCGTTGAAGAGGTCCACGATGTGGAAGAAGCACGAGGTGAGGTTGATCATGCAGGGGAATGTGAGTGGGAGTGATGCGCTGGCTGGGTCTTGTGGATGCGGGCTTGGCGTGTTGAGAGTGATGGTGTTGCTGTTGCTGTTGCTGTTGCTGTTGCTGTTGTATGCGTTGAGGCTCTGCAGCACGTGCTTGTAGCGCTCGATACTCTGGAGCACGTCGCGGAGGGCGCTCGATGTATCCGGGGTGCAGTCTTGCATATCAGTAGTAGTAGTAGTAGTGGTAGTAGTGGCTTCGCCACACATCGTGTTGCGATCCAGCATCTGTGTTTGCAGCTGGCGGCAGAGATCCAGATTGAGGCGGGACAGTTGCATTTCGCACTCGAGCTGGCACCTGAGATCTGATGTGGAGCCGCTGGCTGCGTCGATAGAGGGGTGCCCTGCGGCTTCTGGGGAAGTGAATTCAGCGTGGGCAGCAGTGGCTTTGGGAAACGCGTTGTGGAGTATATGTGGTGGCTCGTCGTGCATGTTTGTCCCGAGCTCGTCGTACAGCGGCGAGTAGTGCATGGCGACTGAGGCATCGTCGTGAGCTGGCGTGTGCCCCTGTTCGTAGCCGGAGGGTATCGAAGCAAAGAAATCATAGTCGTTTAGCAGTGACCACGAATGAGCGGTTGAATCGTCTGCCGTGGTATCTGAGCCCGTGGAGAGCATGCTGCTGGGAGTCGACAGTGCCGAGTTCGCGGGCTTCCGCCTGTCGTCGTCGTCTGGCAAGATGACATCTTTTTGCAAGCGGCCTCGAGGCCGAGTGTAACTCATCACGCAGGGGACGCCGGCGCGCAGGCACCGCGCACACGGTTGAGTGGCATCGTCTTTGTTCGGACACCGCAGCTTCTGCTTCCGACAGCGATCGCACGACGAGCGTTTGGATGTTGCGAACGAGACCAGCGGCATCGAGACAGAAAAGAAACAAAAAAAAAACAACGGAGGATAAAAAGAAAGTGGGAGGTGGGGTTACAGTGAAGATGCCAAACGGGTAATTAATTCATTGCGTGCGTAGAGTAACTATGTTATTGTATGTAATATGGGCTTTTTTCCCCATGTCGTTTTGCTGAACTAGGGGGGCCTGTTCGTTTGCCCTGCGTCTCGGTTCTCGAGCCCAGTCCAGGCCTAGCAGCTGATGTAAGTGTTATAGGGGGTAGACAAGCTGTAGGAATAAGCTTGAGCCTAATCAAGATAGACCTATTATTCAAAAGGAAGGAGCTGGTTAGGTGGAAACGGTTGAGTTGGAGGTCACGTGGTCGTCACGTGAAATGTAGCATGTATTGACCCCTGAAAACCGATTGGGTTCAACGTCAGCAGGTTAGGAAATAGGGTTTCGATATCGTAGGAATATAGAAGCACTTGAGAGTGACAAATATCCCGAGCTGGGGATTATATTACATTCTATCTTTCCACCCCTTTTTTTCATTTTCTTATCACTTTTGAATATTCTTCAGTACACTGAGAAAATATGTCAGTTCTTCCCTTCGAGTTTCCACTACGTCAGAGCAAGGATCAAGACCCATAACGTAATTAATCCTCCAATAATATATCAATTGCAGCAATGGTTGGGCCCATGTGGAGTCCCAGCAATTGTACCCACCAGATAAACGGGCAACACTCCTCTCAAACGCGTCTCTACCTGATTCAAGAAGTGAAACCCACAGCTCAAGTAAGCACTAAGCTAGGGTTATTTTAGTACCGCTACGCCAAGATCAACAGAGGCTGTAGTTTAATCAAAAAACGAATAGGCAGTTCCACTCTCTAGTGTGTTGCAACAACAGCCGAAATGCGGTTTAGTCGAATGAAGAATAGGGCTTCTCTACCATCAGACGCTAGTTGGAAAGTCGCCCTGAATCGGCCGAGGTTCTAGGGCGAAATCCACCGATGGTTACATGGTCTAGCGACTGGCGGCCCTGAGTTAACTACACCGCCTACTACCCTGCGTATGTAACGTCTATCCATGCGTAGTGGGACGCTATCTGGCATCGACGTACAGATATCCCACTATCTCTCCACAAGTATTCATCATGTATATTACTGCCTGCATATTGTTGACAAGGTAGGGGGGCATGGTACCTCACTGTTACCGTTTACTGTGTACTCTACAGCTTTGCGAAACCAGTCACTCCAGCACGTCAGAATCACCCATAAAAGCAAACAGACGTCCAAGGCTCCGTTCTCCAAGCGTCGAGCAAGGGATTTGCGTACTCCATTCTATTCAGACATTTTGTGAACCTCGTAGACGATGAGAGCTTGTTGAAATATGTCCATGTACTACTATAGGTCACAAAAGATGCCCAAGCCCTACTCGCGTAAAACATGGAATCGTAGAATATATGTATGTACAGACACTGAATCGCACACGCTATCATGTACTGTACTAGCGTGAAGTGTAGAAGTGCGATAGCTTCTAAGTAGATAGACTAATGCCAGGTTCACTTAATTCTACCTACTGTATTCATATGGATATTTATCTGTTTGACTGAGGAGTGAATTTTAGCAGGCACAAGGCTCACTAGTGATCCTATGCACTGATACATTATCCTTGTGATGTTCATATCTGCTATTGCGCTCTCGATCGAATAGTGCATCTGTATCATCAGCCTTCAATAGGGTTGAAGAATCTAAGAAGTACCACTCAGCTATATAGTTGTAGATAACATCTGGCTTGAATCATAATCTTGTTTCTTACGTGAGTTGAACTTATGTATCACTCATTACAAATTCTACATTCGAAAAAATTCGAGATTTTTATTATACATGGCACAACAGCATAATTGAATTAATCTTGATCGAGTAGCACATATTTGTTTGAAAAAAAAACAATCAATTCAAAATAGATATGCCCAACCAACAATCCATCAACAAATTCTTACAACCTCCTCTCTCTGTCGATTTCACAAAGATCAGCGAATAGCATATGGAAAAAGGCTGTGTAGAAATTTCCTACAAGCAAAGGAAAATTTCGTGCATCACAGGCCAGTCTTACTGAGCCCAAAGCTCTCGTTATTCCTCATGCCACTGTTCTCTGGCATACCCAGACTGTTCTGTTGGTGGAGTACGCTACCAAACAGCAGGCTGGTGGGATGTCATGGCCATGTAATCCCGCGTGACAAGATGCATGAATGGCAGAATGACTCGAGTACCAGGCTGATACGCATTATTGCCGTCACGCCGCCATGCATGACGTTTCAAACTAGAGGACGAGAAAGCGTGCAAGACATGAAAAGGGTTTGTCGAGAATAAGAGTATATGTTTAGTATATTCAACCCGATGCTTTGCTTTTAATAGTGCACCCCTAGTCTGTGCAAGAACGAAGTGAAAACCACCAAACGTCAAGGAGACAAGTATTCACAACTACATGACACAACATAACACATACATGAATAGTTTTGGCGACTCAGAAGCAAGTCAAATGTACCATGTCAAGAGATAAATGTACTCAAGCCTTGGACTTCTTGGCCTTTTTCGGCTTTGCAGCCGCCTTCTTCTCCTCGACTTCCTCAACAATGGGCTCGGGCTTGGTTTCCTTTTCCTTCTTGGGCTTCTTGCTCTTGGGCGCAACCTCAGAGACTGTCTCTTCAGTGACGGCAGCAGTCTCAAGCGCAACGTCGGACTTGCGCTTCTTGTCCTTCTTGTTTTTCTTGTCAGCGACCGGTTCGGCTACGACGGGCGCCTCTTCAGTCACACCGTTGGGCTCATCTGCGTTCGCCTTTGCGGCCTTCTTGCCCTTTTTTGCCTGCGCAGGTGACGCAACCTTGGTGGCCTCAACAGCCTCCACCGGTTTTGTTTCAGCTTGAGCCTTTGCTCCTTTCTTGCCCTTCTTGCCCTTTGGTGGCTCTGCGTCGGCCACCTCTGCGGCGGGGGCGTCGACCAGAAGCTTCTTGGACTCTGCGGGTTGCAGTTTCTTTATAGTAGTGTGCTGAGGAACACTGTCAACGGTCTTGAGGACCGGTGCTTCGAACTCGTAGTCGAAGGCTTCCTTTAGCTGCTTAGCCTTGCTTTGTCTCCTCTTGTTCTCGTTCTCAACGCGCTTCTCCCACTGCGAGCGTTCGGCACCACGCTCCATCTCGAGACCGGCCTTCTTGTTGCGAGGGTCAACCTTGAATCGCTGGTTCGCACCTTTGAAGAGATCGGGGTGTACTTGGTCGTTTGGAATAAGGTGGACCTTGAGTATGTGGCCGAAGAGTAGATAGTTGTTCATGGTTCGCGCAACAATGTCGGCTACCTCTTGGGATTGGAACTCGACGAAAGCATAGTGCTTGGAGGCACCCGTCTTTTTGTTACGGGACAGGCGTAGGTTGTTGACCTTTCCAAATTGGGAGAAATACTTCTTCATTTGGGGCTCGAAAAAACCGCGGGGCACACGACTAGTGCAACAGTCAGCAGTATACGTGAAAGTGGGGCGGAGATGCATACCCAACGTAGATGACGCCCGGCTGGTCGGCCTTGGGGGCGTCCTGAGCCTGCTTGAGGGCTTTCCGCTGTTTTGCGCTCAGTTTCGGAATCTTCTCATCCTCGTTGAAGTTTTCGTCTTCTTCGGCATCTTCGGAGTCATCATCGCTAAACCCAGCAAGCAGGGCTGCTGTCTGATCGTCTTCGGCAACGTCGTCATCGTCATCTGAGACGACGGCTGTCTCAGTGGCCTCGACCTCTGGTTCGGGTGCTTCCTGCTTCTTGGCACCCTTTGTTTTCTTGGCCTTGGTGACTATGGCCGTCTCTTCTACGATGGCGGGGGCATCTGCAGCCGCTTTTGTCTTCTTTGCCTTATTGGTCGTCTCCTTGGGGGTCTCTGTGACGGTCGTCTCCTCTGCGACTACGGCCTTTGCCTTCTTTGCCTGCTTCTTGGGCTTTTCCTGAACTTCGGCGGCCTCTACCGCTTCTGCGACAGGTTCAGCCACCTTGGTAGCAGCAGCGGAGGCGGCGGCAGCTTTGCTCTGCTTGTCCTTCTTCGGCTTGACGGGTTCGGCGGCAACAGCAGGCGCAGCTTCTTCCTCGTCAATGCCCATGAAGTCGGCGGCCTGCTTGCGCGCCGATTTCCTCGTCGGCTTGGGCTCGCTGGCAGCAACATCGTCCGACTTTCTGGGCTTCTTCGCTTTGGGCGCCGTCTCCGGTGCGCCTGTGACGTGTCAGCCAACCAATTCGAATCTCGCGTGTTGATTTTCTTGTCGCGGCAGCTTACTCTTGCGCTTCTTTCCCTTGGAGTCGTCGGCGGCCATGGCGTTGGTGGGCTGCAATTATTTGGGACGGTGTGTGGTCGCGACAATGTTGCGCGCAAAAGTTCGGAAGAGAGCTCGGGCGCGGGAACTTTTTTCGAGGCAGGCGCGCTAGACGGTTGCCAAGCTCCGGGAGCGTAGTCGACCAGCTCACCAGCCGCGTGCTGGTACCTTCACCGTTGCAAATCAAGTGCTTGTTTTCTGATCCTGTCGCCTAATTAATCAGGTGCCCGTTTCTTCGCCAATCGTCCGCCAACAGCTGCGTCTATATAGAATCCTGATACCGCCGCTCCAGCATGGCGCCAATCGTGGACATGAGCGACAAGCATGCGTGGGACGACTCTCTACTCATCAGCTCCTGGGACGAGGCCCTCAACGAGTACAAGGTAAAAAACCCACTTGCGATGCAGCATGCGGCCGAACCATGCCCGTTAACGCGTGCACAGAAGTATCACAGCATCCATCAGTCTGGCAAGAAACTTGAGGACGTGTTGACCGAGGAGGAGCTGAAAGAACTGCGAGAGTAGGTGCTCCCCCCGGTCTTCACCACTATATGACTGACGTGACCAGGGACTATGGCGACTTGATGGAGGAAACAGCGGCAGCACCCATGGCGGCAGAGACCAATGGCGCCGCGGATCCTGGCGATGCCGACATGTCGAGCGCAGAGATTACTGGAGTTGGTCAGTTTGCCCAAAATAGCGTAGGGCACGAGGTACGTGGACAGGTTGGATGTGAAACAGTCGAGCCCCAGGCCCTGTCTAACTAGAATCAGGAACCACAACACTCCGAGCAGCAAAGACCTCAGCATGGCCAATCGTCGACACCCAAGGCTGTGCCGGCACCAGATGCTGCCGAACCTCTTGCCAATGCCATGCCACAGGCGATTCTGGGAACCGGTACGTAGTGGCGAGTTTGACAGCCGCTGTTTCCGGCGACTGTGGGGAACTTTTGACAAGTTGACGGCTTACTGATGGCCTGCAGTCAAGGATGAAAACCTCAAGAACATGATGATGTCCTGGTACTATGCTGGCTACTACACGGGTCTGCATGCCGGACAGCAACAGGCGTCCCACGGCTCCTCGGCAGCATAAAAGCCTCGGGGAGTGGCGTCTACCGAGGGCAGTGCGCATGGTGCGCGTGGCTGTCCAATGTGTGGCAAGACGGCGCCCTAGGCAAATACTGAGGCTTGACGGCCACAAAGCTGAACCAATGCGGGTAAGGATGCTCGCTGCCTCGACCCCTGCGCGCGACTCACCACCAACAATGAGTGCCTCAAAAACGCGAACTAAATCGGGTTGTGGCACCACGGCTTACACGGCTTCTCATGCGGCTAGCTGGTTTCCAGCCCCATCAACCAGGCATTATGAGTAGTTATGTCCGGAAGCTATAGGCTTGGGTGGTTCTTAGATTGCCGAAAGCGATGTTCGCAGCGAGAAGCGAGACAAACCTGCGACACCACCGCGACGCCCTTGGGCCCATCTCCAACGGCTCGAGCATCACCCTGACGCCGCACGCACACTGAACGGAGCGACCATGGCCAAAATCCCGCTATTCTCGCAGCCTGGCCAGGTTGCCTGTAGCGCCGCGCCGAGCCCAAGGGTTTGGTGTTTCGCCCTGCATGCAACCGGCCAGCAAACCCTTCGTAACGAACAATTTCATGCGTGGATTTAAGGAATGCACCTCCCCAGGCAAACAAGTCGTCTTTTCATACCATCGAATCTGCCTCATAATTCCAGTGCTTCACTTTCTCTTTCCCTTCTTTTATCTGCTTCTTACCGTCCGAGCCGGCCCTCGCAGTGCCCTTCCAGTCCTTCAGCCTCTTTTACCGTACATTCTAGTGCTTGCAGCGCAGGTTAACGCTCTCTTTTGACGACAAATTTTCCAAATTACGCAATCTAGTCATAATGAAGTACTTCACAGCACTACCTTTGGCCGCTGCCTTGGCCGCCGCCGAGATGCAGGTCATGTCACTTGCTCCCGCGGCTCCAGCCGACGCTAAGATTCACCACGTAAGTGCACTCGCATAGTTGGATTCAAAAATCTTGCTTACACAGTCTAGGTCGTTGTTGGCGGAGCCCAACCCGGTGCGGGAGGCATGATGGTGCCCAAGCTCGAATACACGCCCGACACCATCGTGGCGGCCGTCGGCGACATGGTCGTTTTCCAGTTCATGGCCAAGAACCACACGGTCACGCAGTCAGCCTTTGCAGAGCCTTGCAAGAAGATCGACGGAGGAATGGACTCTGGTTTCATGCCCAACCCGGACAGCAAGCCCGGCGTCACGTGGAACATGACGGTTAAGACGACGGAGCCAACCTGTAAGCTAGCCCAACCGCGGGTGTCGCATGTGTGGTGAATGACGGCTAACACGAGCAAGGGTTCTACTGCAAGCAAAAACAGGGCGAGCACTGCGGCAAGGGCATGGTCTTCTCCATTAACCCTGCGACAACGGGCAACAAGACCATGGCCGACTTCAAGGCCCTGGCCATCAAGCAGAACGGCACCAACCTTGTGGGAAGCGGCCTCCAGAGCACGGGCGCTGCTGCTGCCGCCCCTTCGACTGTCACCGTCTCTGCAGGAGCCGGCATGGCTACCCCACCTCCCGCCGCGGCGGCACCTCCAAGCGTTGCCCAAGGCAATGGCAAGGACGGACAAGGCATTGCTTGCTCATGCCAGTGCCTGTGCGGCGTGTCTTCGTTCCCTCAAAACGCCGCCATCAACAACTTTGGTGGCTTTGCTGGTATGATTTCGTAAACGATCACGGCGAGATGGGTAAAAGATTTAATAGATTGGTCGACGTGGTAGTATGGCGGAGGAGAAGAACAAGAAGGAGGAGGGAGAATTCTCATGATGGGTTCCGGGCGAAGAAGCTTCTGGTTGAGCATCTCCCGGGACCCTTTACACCATTCATCATTTGCTAGGGCGTTCGCATTATACCGTAATCCACCTGCTGCGATGTTGTTGCCGCGCAGTGGTTTTTTGTTGTGTTCACACGTAAATCTATACAAACTTTCTCAGGGCTAGATCCAACGAGACTATTAGATATATATTCGCGTCTTATTACCTTGTTTACATTGGTGACTTGCTTCCAAGGATTTCTGTGAAGACTCGCCTGGTTGATGTAGCTGCTAAGTTGGAGAGAGAGAGAGAGAGAGAGAGAGAGTTGTGAACATCACAGGCTTTGGAAAAGAGATAGATATGGAGGCGCAATCGGCGAACAACACCATCACGACATGGCGAAAATTCAAATCAGTGGATTCAGTATCCAAGCAGTAATAACCCAAAAGCAAAAAACCCATACACCCTCTCGTGACTACCCAGATTCGCTGTCCCGTTGAAAACTCCGCTGCTCCAAGACTCTTACGCTGGCATGCTTCGTGGCTGTGTCATGTTGTGCGCCAGCCAACTCATTTCTTGGCGCCGCCAGCTCCCTCAGCCTTCTTTGCCTCCGCTGCATGCCATGTCAGTCAGGGTATTATCCAGCGTCATTTTTCCCATGCGAAAAAAATTGCAAAGGCATGATGATATATATATATATATATATATATATATATGGATGGGGGGAGAAACTCACCAGCAGCCTGTTTAGCGCGCATAATGGCCGCCACGTTCTCCTTGGTGCGCGCGAATTCGGTGCCGGATTGCTACAACGAGAAAAACAGCCATTTTAGTCAGCCCACGTCTCACCGCTGCTCCTTGGTTTCCTCCTTCTCTTTTCCTTTCGATGGGGGGGAAAGGCAAATATACATACCGTGTTCTTTGATTTCTGCGATAATGTCAGCAGCTGCTTGCGATGATGAAGGAAAAACCCCGAAATGAAAAAAAAGAAGCAAGAGGATCTTCGGGTAGTAAGGCTCAAACGTACCTTTCCCGCCTGCTCCTTGAGGTTCTTCTCCCGCGCCTTGTCACGCTGGTTGCCGCGCGCCATTTCTCCGGCTGGAACTTTTCTTTTTCTTTGTTGATATCTCACGGACAGAAGGAAATCAGTTCCGACTGCGAATAAAAAAAGAGAAGAAAACAAGTCGCAAAGCCGCGGGGGGAAGCTGTGTGTATAGAGCGCCGAAGGGGAAGCGTTTGGGAGAATAGAAGGCCAAGTGCAGTCAGCAGCGGCGAAGGGCTGATAAATTAGCGCCAGAGTTGTTGGGTGCAGTCGCCAATCAGCGGCCGAGGGCGGGAGCCATCGGGAGGCTACTGGATCGATGCGCCGATCTGCGCCATCGCAGACACGTGGATCGACATTCACCCCCTCTGGCCTCTGGGCTGCTTTGCGGTTAGTCTTTTTGGGCGGTTGCCTGCTGTCGCATCTACTGGATCGGATGTTCAGAATGGTTTGATCGACAGATTTTTATTGTTGCTGCGAGACTGACGAGCTAGGAATTTGCCTACAGAGCTGTGTGTTGGTGGATGCGTTCGACATTACAATATGTATCCAGACAACAGCCAGACCATACTTATGATATACTCGACGGTGCTGTTGGACTCATGACATCTAAATTGCAGTGTTGATACTCTGCCTGCTTTCTGTGATATGCCATGCACGCACGAGTGGAAGTTTCCCTGTTTATTCAGCATGATCCATATTTACCAATTTAACAACATCTCCGATCCATCTTCTCCGAACAAAGCACCTGGCAATTTTGAACAATAAAAAAAATGGCGAGATAAATAGTAGCAGTATTCCGGTCAGTGGTGCAACCAAAAATAACAGAGTCTCCGCGGAAGACACCCAGCTTCCAAACAGGCATACCACGAAATCTCACGAAATCCACAACAGTCGATTACCGACTCCAGAATACGGTTCACGTAATACATCGACGGGCATGAATCCGATCTTCCTGATCGGTTCTCTGCATCTGCAAACATGTTTGGGTGTCCTTCTCTTCCAGGATAAATTAGCAATATGCGACAGTACGGGTATATTGCTTCGCATCACACTAGCCGCCATCATGCGCCCTCACATTGAGAAGTGTCTCTTAACAGTCATGTATAAATTCCTCAATAGGGGTTTTCAGATTTCTCCAACTGCCCTCTTTCAGCCCCTAGATCCCATCTACTGCCGGCACCATGGCTCCTACAACCGCTCTTCTCCTGTCGCTGCTCGCGGGCCAAACATGCGCTCATACCTTTATTTGGGTACTCTTCCACATTCGAGATCCATGGTAGTTCTAACCCTCCCAGGGCGTATTTGTCAACGGAGTCGACCAAGGAACCTTCAAAGGCATCCGCATCCCCGCGTACAATGGTCAAAACGGGCGTGGAGGCTACAACAACTCGCCAGTCAAGGACCTCGACTCCATCGACATGCGCTGCAACGTCATGGGAGACGTGCAAGCCCACGATACTATCAAAGTGGCGCCGGGAGACAACCTCACGTTCGACTGGCATCACGAGCTTCGTAATGATACCGACGAAGTCATTGCCTCTTCGCACCATGGGCCCTCGCTCATCTACATATCGCCCGACCCCCCACGAGATAACTCGTTCGTCAAGCTCTGGCACGCCGGCAAGATCGAAAGCAACCCGTTCCCACAGCCAGGCGAATGGAGCACCACCAGCGACATTGCGAAGAAGTTCGGCCACATGAATGTACGCGTACCGGCGGGACTCAAAGCCGGAAAGTACCTGATCCGCGCTGAGATGGTCGGGCTGCATGAAGGCGAAGTAAGCTATGCGCAGAATCCCAGGCGTGGAGCGCAGTTCTACCCGGATTGCGTGCAGATCGAGGTGACGGGTGATGGCCAAGTGGAACTGCCCGAGGGCGTCAGTTTCCCGGGTGCTTATTCTTACAACGATCCTGGCGTCGTACACAACGTAAGCTCTCCTCTCGTAACACGATACCTCTCGTATACTCATCGTCTACAGATTTACTGCTCGACCGAAACCAGGAAGCCCGCAGCATCCACAACTCCCTGCGTGACCGACTATGTGATTCCTGGGCCGACAGTATGGACGGGCGCTTGGCCAGACACAACTGCCGTATCTGTCGGGCTCGTCAAGGGCGTTACGACTGCGACGCCGTGGAGTACGTGGATTGGGACTAACAGCGTGGTCACGAGTGCCACGTACACGGACCCGCGCAGCCAGACGATTGTCGGTAGCTCAAAGTACACGGCGACTTGGAGTGCGACGTATGCGGAGCCTACGGCTACGGCTCCTCGGTGGTAGGAAAGTCGTTGTAGGTATCTATTATTGGGGTTTGCGTTGCAAGATCTACATCTGCGTTGCACGTATGTAATCCGGATGTGAGATGCGGGAATGAACGATACATGACAGGTTGAAGAGCCAATTACTGCTGCCACTAAACTTTGGTACTAGTGATATGACAGTCTGGTGTGTAGTTACCAATTAGGCAACGCAAGGTTCCGCATACTTATGTACCCATCTCTACGGTACGAGAGCCTTGATCTGAAAACGTCATCACGCGAGTGGCAGTCAATTTTTTTCAACAAAAAGAAAACAACCCTATGATTCAGCATATGCATCCTTCTTTATAAAAGGGACAACTTTTGAATGCCAGGTTTTTCGCATTGATTCATTGCCGTAAGCATATACAGTAATCGATAGTCTCGCGTTTCGCCCGCAAGTCCAGCCTCTCTCGTTATCACCTGCGACCGAGATCCAATTCACCGCAAGGTGCACCATGTATCAAAAAGTCTTTTTTTCTGTGACAGCTACTCAATAGCTTATCTCATCTTGCATACCAGCTCTCGCTGCGTTCTCTCCACCTCAAGACATAATCGCGGGAAGAAGGCCCAGCCTAGCCACAGTAGCACTGGCAATCGTCGCTTTCCAACTTGAACGAAGCAGCGACCTTTGTGTTGCACTAGCACCCGATGAATTAGCCATATTCTCAGCGATAGAAAGCAGCAACAGTAACAGTCACAGCAGAAGTACTGGATGTTGTTGGGTAGCCATCGACTTACATAAAAGTTGCATCCGATTACGCAAGCATTTTGCTCAGCGTCTGAGCAAGCGACCTATTTGATCTAGTGTTAGTAAAGAAAGCGGGATGAGAAAGTTATTTGCGTCATGTCAAGTGCAATAGGGGGACTCACGTTGCCATCGGCCGCGGCGTTAACGCAGGCGTATCGGTTGGCGGCCGATACGACTTGTGTGAAGGGGAGGAGGAAAAGGATGATTGCGCTGAGGCTGAAGTGCTGCATTTTGAGATCTTGAAAAAAATACACTTTTCAAAGACGCGAGACAAAGTGCGTGATTTAGTAGCGTGGCGTGGTGGTGGTGGAGGAGTAGTGAATGTAGTGAAGAACCGTAGTCCCAACCAGCACAAGAAACACCACAACTTATATATCCCTCCCCCCCACACTCAGTAGCTCATAAGATATGAGACAAAGTCCCTCTCCCACCTTCAAAGCTACTCCGCATTCCATGAACCCGCCATACCAAAAAAAAGCGCGATACAGGGATTATTTCACTAAGAAAGAAAATAGTTAATTGCATATAGAGATTACTAGCCTATTTACACACACACCAACGTCAAGTTTTCTAGAATAGGTGTAATTTTTGTTAAATATATACAAATCCCTTACAAGAAACTAATTACAGCAAGTTTTAAGACGTGCAGCGTGCGCGCTGTGGAGCTATAAGCTATAAGAGCAGATAGTCAAGACACGTCTCACACTCAAAACAAAAACACACAGACCACTCTGCTTAGTAATAAGAGAACCCCAGCAACAGAATGCCACCAGAAAGCGATACTATCGAAGCCCAAGTGCTAGAACAGAGACAAGAGAGCCTAGGCCCAGAGGCTCAGATCGACAGGGAAATGGACAGAGAGGACCCCTACCCAGCCACTCCTACCCAGCAACCAGCCAGCCAAGAGAGCGTCTTTGAAATCCCAATCCTACCACCAAAAAAGCGCCAAGCCAACTTCTCGCCAGAGGCTGCCTATAG